TTTTGCTTATGTGGTGCTGAGGAATTGAACCCAGGGCCTCGAGCATGCAAGGCAAACGCTCTACCACTGAGCCACCTTCCCAGCCCATCCATGAGGCTCTTGTCTCCAATTAGCCATCCAAAAACCAGACATGGACCTGTGGCTCAAGTGATAGAGCGCCAACTTTAAGGAAAGAGAAAAAAAAGCTAAGAGATAACAGTATCCAATATCCAATATCCGCGCCCTGAGTTCAAGCTCCAAGACGGGCGCAAGGCAAAGATACCCAAAAGGGTGAAGTTGTGGCTGCGGGTTTGGGGGGCTGGAGCACACGGTTTTGCTGAAAGCAAGTGGTGATTTAGGCTTAAGAGGGGACTGCAGCCACTGAGGAGCAAAGAGGGGTCCTCGAAGACCCCAGGCTCAGCGACATCCCCCAGCCCTGGAGACGCCCCCTCTTCCCTATTCCTTCCTGAGGCTCCCTCTGAGTTGGGGACCAGGCCAATGCTGGAATTCAGGACTTGGCTGAGTGCTCAAGGTGGACCCTATCTGGTGGAAGCCTTGTCAGTAAGGGGACATTGCACGTGGGCCCTGAAGGCTGAATAGGAGTTCAGGGGGCACAGCGGACGGAATAGCACCCAGGCAGGGCCCAGTGCCAGACTTTGTGATTATCAGGTTCACTGGTCCGCTCCCCCCTCCCTCCCAGCTCCCTCCCCCTCCCTCCCAGCTCCCTCCCCCCTCCCAGAAAGCCTTTTATTGGCTCAATAAAAATAATTTTTTAAAAAAAGAACAAAAAAATCACTCTCCTATTGTATGGGGAGAAGGGAGGAGGGCTCTAAATCAGGACAGGAATCGACAGGGCCTCTCTCCTGTTTATTAGGGCTGAAATGTTTACTTGGCGACGAGGAGCCAGCTTTCTGGGGAGATTTGTGCACTCTTTTTCAATTACCCCTCGTCTTTCTCTGCCACTTTTGCACTAAAGGGATAATAAATGTATCGGAGCGTTTCAATTATTCATCTAAATCATGACTGCGCCTGCCACGGCCAAGCCTTAGTGACAGATTAATTCAGAGCCGCCTCTTCTTCCTGCGAGGTGGTGCCGTGTCCGTTCCTCCGGCAGCAGCGCCCAGGCCAGGGTGGGCCCGACACCCTGACACCCTCGTGGCTACCTCTGTGCCCGGGAGGGGAGAGGCCAAGGTGGCTGTGCCGACTTCATGCCTGCCACAGGCCCTTTGTACCTACCGTTCCTCGGTCCCCCGTCGCAGCCTTCCTACCTACCTATGGCCGCCCGCGTCCCCCGCCATCTCTATGTAGCCACAGCCATGTGCCCAGCACAGAGCTTGACGTTGGGCCCACAGCCCCGCCCACCGCCGCCGGCATTCTGTTTCCTGTGCATTCAAGTCCCACCTGCTCTCCCCTGCCCGGCTAAGGGGAGGCTTGCGGAACAGGTCAAGGCAGGAGCGTGAACCCGGGCTGGCATCTCCTCGTCATCAGCACAGAGTGCCACCCGACCTTCCTCACACCCGTGTGGTCCCCAGGCCCGGGGGCTGGCTGCGTCTCTCCCTCGCGCTGTCTCTCCGCCGCTGGTCTTTCCCTCCTCTCTCTCTCTCTCCCCTCCTCTCCCGTGCTGGTTTTCTTTCTCTGTCTCTCCCTGGCTGTGCCTCCCGCTCGTGGCCTCTGTGGACGGCAGTCCGGAGGGTCCGTGGGGCCTCTGAGCCCCCAGCCCGCGTGGCCTCCCCCTCCCTCCTGTGAGCCTCAGCTGTGGACACTTCTGTGGCCCGCAGGGAAAGGTGCTCGGCTGCCCTGGTGAGCTGCGGCCTGGCTGGGCGGGCGGAGGACAAGGCCTCTGTGGCCTGTGGCCACCGGGTGATCTGACCTCATGCTGAGGTTGGCTGCCCCCCCAGGGCTGGCGGCTCAAGCCTGTAATCCCAGCCACTCTGGAGGCTGAGGTCTGAGGATTGCAGTTGGAAGCCAGCTCTGGCAGGAAAGGCCATGAGGCTCATATCTCCACTTAACTAGCAGAAAAGCAGATGTGCAGCTTACGAGGTACAGCACAGCCTTGTGTGGGAGAGAAGACCTCAAGTTCAAGGTCCAATACTAGCATGTACATGCACAGATATGCACACATACCCACGGGAGGGGAGGGGAGAGAAAGGAAAAGGGAAATCAGATAAGGGAAGAGGAGGGGAGAGGAGGAGGGGGAGGTCTGGGGAGGAAAAGCGGGAGGACAAGGCTGGCAGTGTGGCTCAGTGGTCGAGTGCTTGCTTAGCGTGCACAAGCCCTGGGTTTGATCCCTCAGTACATACGCAGAAAAAGCCAGAAGCGGCGCTGCGGCTCAAGTGGTAGAGTGCTAGCCTTGAGCAAAGGAAGCTCAGGGACAGCGCCTGGGCCCAGAGTTCAGGCCCCAGAATGGGGAAGGAGGGAAGGA